ACCCCACACGGGTATGTACATCGAAAAAAAATTTTCATCCCTCAGTTACATGTATGGGGGGCCCCACCCCCAATTCTTTTTTTTACTATTTAGTGTCATAATTTTGTAGCGGTTCATACAACACATATTCCCATCAAATTTCATCACTGTAGTACTTATAGTTTCCGAGTAAATCGGCTGTGACAGACGGACAGACGGACAGACGGACAGACGGACAGACGGACAGACGGACAGACGGACAGACGGACATGACGAAACTATAAGGGTTCCGTTTTTGCCATTTTGGCTACGGAACCCTAAAAAATACGTAGTACCTAAGTATATAGGTATAGCTATTTTTCAGAATCAGCTGTTTTTTTGTCGCTGTTATCATTAATAACCAACAATATTGTTCTTAATCATTACAAAAACCTTTCCTAAAATACCAAACTTGGCATGTGCTCATACAAAACCAACACCGCAGCATGTGCTCATGAATGCAGAAGCGTAGCAGAACAACGGGCTCAATTTCTCCAATCACCAGCGTCGATGCAGGGGGCATGTAGCGGCCTAGACAGGTTTCTTGCCTTCTGGGGGGATCTGTGGTGGTTGGAGCTAGGAAGATAGACCACAAATCGCGCACAAATGGCCCAATCATGAGGCGAAGTGCGGCATTCGATTGCCCTCTGCAAAAGTTGTTTTGCAGAGGGCAATTGCGTGTATTTTATACTTTTTGGTACTCTCGCATCCGGGAGCTTATTTGATTGATTATTATTTATAACCCATTTGATTGATTTCGACATTAGCTTCGATGCCGGTGGGGTAAAATGTGTATTTAGGGAATCTACTGATATCCATTTAGTTAGTCCCAATCGATTCTGGGTTTTTCGTCGATACAAAATTGACCTTCTGTTTACAATAAATATTTTAAAAATAAAATAAGTTGGCTAGAATCAAAATCAACAATTTTTATACAACGGATAAACTACTAGCTACACCAGCTAGCGGCGAAGATTATAATTACCTACATTCTAAAAACTCACGCAATGCTAATTTACTCCCGCGGGTTTTCAAATCACAGAGCCATCTATCTACCATTAAAGGAACTACTAAATGCACGTATTTCATTAAACAGTGCTAGCGGGATTTCAAGTAACAGAGCCATCTATCTATTATCAGTTAAACTACTAACTACACGTATTTCATTTTTTTTCTTAATTTTATATTTTGTTCTTGGGAGGTGGTTTATTTGCCGTGCGCATTTTTTGTGAAATTAAGAACTTTTATGAAAAAAAATACATAAAATCTTTTATGAATTGATGACCTATTTCTGTATTTATAAGCTTTTTACAAAAATAAAAATAAAATTAAAAGTTTTAAACAGTAAACTATGAATGAATAAAAAAAATTTTTTTTAAATAATTTGTGTTTTTTGTATGGTGGGGTTGCCGGTTGTTAGATTATTTACCATTTTCATTATCATTGGGAAAAAAATGGACAAGTCGCGAGCGTTTTATTAGGTATTAGAAAACTATCACGCTAGTCGCGGGAATCAAAGTTACTCTGTGGCGCGTGCGCGCGTGGCGGGAATCTCAACACGCATTACAATTTTCTAATCTGAGCCCCGATTACGGTAACTTTTATAACGTCTACAATCCAGACGCGTTTCTGATTCTGCGATACGATTGGTCAAAACAGCTGACGTACGCTGTTGAACGACCGCGCTTACTATGAACGATGTAATTAATGTAATAATCTAGTAGCTATCGTCTCACGAATCGCCCGATTAGAACGCGTGAGTGTAAAAAAAATTGGAATTGAAATTATTCATTTTTGATACGTCCACTCGTGACCACTTTCGCATACATAGAACTTTCCACAATTTCTCTAGTGGACCATTATGTGGACGCAACAATGGTATTCCTATTATGTAGGTATAGCCTGACCAGGAACATAAAAACCCTCGCCATGTTGCGGAAAACTAATGGTACTAATTTCTTTTAATGGCAACAGTAACTGAAAACTTCATTGATATGTCACCTTGCATGTCAGTCTATTGCTGTCAAAGTGTAAACAAACTTTATTTTAAATGTGCGCAATTGATTTTGTGAATTAAATTGCTAAAATATTTTTATAGTCGTGAAAGAAAAGTGGTTCACAATGTTTAACACATTGTCGGAGAGATATACTAAGGGTTCGGACAATATTTTCATTGAATAATGTTTCCGACAAAGGTTGTCAAATTGACTGACATGCTTATCGTATAGTACCTACAGTCCACTATGAAAATTAGCTGTGGTTTGTTTCAACTATAGGTGTACCAGAATCTCATGGACTCATGGCAAATAAAAATATTGGAAAAGTGTGTTTTTCATATGGCAATTGTCTATGGCTTTATTGTCACCTGTCAAAGTAAATCAAGAGATCTGTCAGCCGCTGCAGAAATGTTGTAATCTCTTCATGCCTATTTGTTATTTTTGTGAAAAAGTCGAAAAACCTCAAGCAAATTATATTGTTTTCAATGTGTATTGTAAAATAAGGCATAATTCAAAGTCAATCTTTGATTTTAAAGCGCGTCGTTGAGTTGACAGTAAGTTGGAGTGAAATGTTTTGATATTTTAATAATGTTACAGAAAATTGTATGGTATAGTAGTGAATTTTCGAAAAAAATTCGAAAATCTTTTAGTGTAACTCTCTTTTTTTTTTCGAAAATAAAGGAATGTTCTTTCAGCAAATTTTTCTATCTACACTATTAAGAGTACCCTCCAGGTGGCATTACAAAATTCCACTCTGTATAAATACCTCTTTAACTTGATCATCTATTGAAGAAGAATCAAGAATTGCAAGTGGAGTTCCTAGAAAACGTCTAGTTCTGAATGAAGTGATAAGTTATAAGTATGATACATAATAAAATTATTTACAGTAATATACGGTTTACTTATTTTTCAAGACATGTATAAATGTTAAAAACCCGATGTATAACAACATTCTTCATACAAAATCTAAAATGTATAGGTAGGCATTCGTACTTCATGTTCATTAATATTAAAGTCATAAATAAAAAAATTAACAGTATCAAGATCGTTTAATCCAATTTCCCCAGTATTGCACTCAACAAAGTTTATTTTCCCCATTTGCCATGAGATTCTGGTACACCTATACCTATTTTAAAGTTTTTTGTCACTTTCTAAGTGTTGAATTTTATGGAATTGGGAAAGAAGTACCGAGATTGAAGCGTTCATGAGCAGACATTGCATTTGAATATTCAAGTTCTGAATTTGGTTATTGACGAATAATAAAATAAATCCTACTAACTCGATTGATGGTTTCATTTAATTTATTTAAACCAGGTTACCTATAATAATATTTTTTCGTTAATTTATGAAAATATCAAATTAGCCCGTAATCCAGAATCCTGATACATAAAGTTAGCCTATTAATTTAACACAGGTACAACTGTACTCATTGTTGCACTATCAAATGCAATTGACGCGCCCGCCCTATGCCAGGGTTTTTATGTTCCTGGTCAGGCTATACCTCCTGTATTATCTGCATCTGCCCGCGACTATCGCCTCTTCGCTAGTGCATGTGGATGAAATAGCTCGTTAAGATTATTTTGCTTTTTGTGTTGTATAGTTTCTTTCTTGTATCTATGCGCATTTTGTTTGATTCGTGCGTAATAAATCGCATCATCTAAAAACAAGTCTTATAGCCTGACCAGGAACATAAAAACCCTGGCACAGAGGCGCTTCAATTGCATTTGATAGTGCAACACTGAGTACAGTCGTACATGTGTTAAATTAATGGGCTAAATTTATGTATCAGGATTCAGGATTACGGGCTAATTTGATATTTTCATAAATTAACGAAAAATATTATTAAAGATAACCTGGTTTAAATAAATTAAATGAAACCATCAATCGAGCTAGTAGGATTTATTTTATTATTCATCAATAATCAAATTCAGAACTTGAATATTCAACTGCAATGTCTGCTCATGAACGCTTCAAACTCGGTACTTCTTTCCCAATTCCATAAAATTCAAAACTTAGAAAGTGACAAAAAACTTTAAAATAGGTAGTTGAAACAGACTACAGCTAATTTTCATAGTGGACTGTACCATACGATAAACATGTCAGTCAATTTGACAACCTTTGTCGGAAACATTATTCAATGAAAATATTGTCCGAACCCTTAGTATTTCTCTTCGACAAATTCATTAACACATCGTGAACCACTTTTCTTTCACGACTATAAAAATATTTTAGCAATTTAATACACGAAATCAATTGCACACATTTAAAATAAAGTTTGTTTACACTTTGACAACAATAGACTGACATGCATGGTGACATGTGAATGAAGTTTTCAGCCCCCTTAGACAAAACGCACTTTTTGATCGAATCGAAAATCGAATCCGTCAAATTCCATACAAAAAAGGGGCTTTTCGACCACTTTTCGACTGGTTTGCGATTATAATTGCACTTTGTCTAGACCCACAGTTACTGTTGCCATTAAAAGAAATTAGTACCATTAGTTTTCCGCAACATGGCGAGGGTTTTTTTTATGTTCCTGGTCAGGCTATAATATAGATGACCCACGCTGAACTGTCCCGCCAAACTCAATGACAGGGCGGCGCTACCATCGTTCAACTATATGGTTTCCAACATGGCAAAAATCGGAACCAGCGATCCGGTATTGACGGTGGCGCCCCACTGTCAATGTCATCGATAGGACAGTCCAGTATTTTGGAACTATATTATTAACTCTCAATAGTAGTGTTATATTATCTGTGATAGTAGTACCTATTATTGTCATTGTACAAAATGAAATCGTGAATTTTTCATTAATTTATTTCAATGTGTTCACAAATGTTAAAAAATAGAATATTTAAATAACAGTCCTTTGTAGGCCTCTAGTAAAATTATTTTGAAACTTATTTTATTTGATTACTTTGATTCAAACAATTTTACAGAATTTTAGGGAAATTCAGAAAATTTGTCTGGCAGCCCCAAAAATGGCAAAAAATGCGTGATGAAATGAAATTCAGAGAAGAAATTGATTGTTTCTCGGAAAACTGACTGAACGAAGATTAATTTCCTTGAATTTAGTTTTGAAATTTGACAGTACAATACCTAAAATACAAAAATAGTTGTCACGCGGTTGTGTTTAAATTTTTAGGCTTAAATTATAAAAGAAAAAATTGTTCAGTTTGTTTCTTTTTGTGATGATGTGCCGGTAATTAGCTCAAATGCAAGTGCAAAGAAAAATTAATGTAGTGGCTCAGCACGATTTTGAGGACGGGATGGATTCAAAACTTAGCTTGATGTCTTCGAAGGCTATGGAGACTCGTTATTACGAGGGCTGTGGACGCGAAGGTCCAATACGATGTATATTTTTGGGGGAATTCCACCCTGTGGCTGGCCCAAAGATTTCATGCCAGGTTTGTTACCTTTCATTGAAAAGATATTGCATTTCACTATTGAGCAAGATCTATTGATCTACTAATTTGGTAATGATTATGACAGCTAGTTGGTTAATTATGAGGATATGGCAGAGTTAAATGTCAATATTTTCCTATTGGTGACAGAAAAATTGCTCAGTGAATCAGTATCAAACACTTTTCTGTATAGGCCTTGTGACTGGGCAATGTTTATAGTACCTACAATACATGGTTACACTTGACAGCTGATGCCTGATCATACCATACATGTTAGGCTATGTGGACAGGTCATTACTACAATGTACATAGTCTGGCTGGTTTTGCTTGCAATGATATTGTGTTATTACTTATTACACAAGTTATTATCACTTAGCCTTTCATGACCTCACTGGCCCTTTGGTTTTCCAATAACTGACAAACATTTGTATAATGAGATAATCCAATAAGCTATTGTAGTCCAACATGTATCAGTCAATCATATTACAATCTGCTATAGACATAGCATTGTATTGGTAATGTTGGTATTTTTACATTACTCAAGTTAAGCCAATGTTTTTAGTATCTTCCAATTATAAATAGTATATAATATATACAGGGTGTTTGGCGCATCGTGTGCCAAAATGATTTGGCGGATAGAATGGGTCATTTCCTATATTTTCAGCCCCCATAACACGTTCCATGTCAGGCGGCTACTTTTATATTAAGTTTTTTAGTAATTTCACCAAAATACCCAAATCGCATCATTTAATTTCGATTTAAAAAAAAACTACTAAGTGTAGCCTCAAAGTAAATATTTTGTTTTGACGTGCATTGACATAGGGTTGCATCAAATCAAAATTTACTGGCAAATATCATCTAGTTTTTTTTTAATTCAGCTTTGAACTTTTCCGAAAAGTTAAAAATGGACTGAACATTTAAGTTTACATGGCTATAATTTTTTTTTAAAAGAGATAGCGATCTTCGGATTTTATCAAAACTTCTCTAGTCTATCCCCATTCAAACGGTATACTAATCTTGTTTAAATAATAACAACAACTTCACAAATTCCCTAAATTAGTGCATTGACTCTATTCGGACTGATTTGCGAAATTTGTGTTTATAGCCCCTTTTTGTGTGAATAACACGTTAAATACCTACAGGTAAAAAAGTTAGAATGTACAAGAAGTAAAGTGAATATTCATGTTAATTATATAATTTACTAAACTAAAAATCAGAACGTTCTCATGGTAAATTTTCTCAATCATATCATAATTTTAAAAGTCCAATACTCAATCCCATCTCAATAGAAAAAATATATAAAAATAAAACTTTCACCACCAAGACCGAATGTTCCTTGCAAAGAACTATTATTTTCAAACGAAAAAAAATCTTGCAAAACTACTTCAAATTGGGAAAAATAATTTTTTTGCTTGTTTAGCAGTATTTTAACTTAAAATATACTGGTCAGTTTTGCAATTAAACTACGTTTACGTGAAGAAAAAAAATTAATCGCACATCACGTCTTCTCGGATGAACCACCTTGTCAAAGAAAAATGATAATTTGACAGTGACATTTTGTTTTTTTTTATATTAATAAGTTCGGATACCTGATTTTGAATACTTTAAGCCATAGACTATCACTCTTATTTTTCGATAGGCGCGAATTTTTGAACTTAAATTTGTCGCTAAAGTTTAAGTTCCTCTGAAGGCACATCCGGCGATACTTCGAAATCACCTCCGAAAATGTCTCGGCGTTACTGACTACAAAGTTTTAGTTCCTTCTGAGGCACATCCGGGCTTACGAGGTTAAATGTTCAGTCCATTTTTAACTTTTCGGAAAAGTTCAAAGCTGAATTAAAAAAAAACTAGATGATATTTGCCAGTAAATTTAGATTTGATGCAACCCTATGTCAATGCACGTCAAAACAAAATATTTACTTTGAGGCTACGCTTAGTAGTTTTTTTTTAAATCGAAATTAAATGATGCGATTTGGGTATTTTGGTGAAATTACTAAAAAACTTAATATAAAAGTAGCCGCCTGACATGGAACGTGTTATGGGGGCTGAAAATATAGGAAATGACCCATTCTATCCGCCAAATCATTTTGGCACACGATGCGCCAAACACCCTGTATAATACTTATTCGTATCTAATGCACAACGTGAAAATCTATTTAAAATGGTCACTTCTTTCAGTTCCCCGAAGACTATATTTCTAAAGAAGTCTTTGATACAATCAGTGCTTACATCATTCCAAAACCACTAATACAGAAAAGTACCATGACAATGTAAGTTATAGTAAATAGAGTTCATTTAATTTTATAAATATGCATTTTGAATGCAACTTTTGATAAATGTGTTTCCTTCTGTTTCCAGAAATGCTTTAGGTCATAAGGTAGTTGGGTACCCAATCAGAATCGACAACTCCAATTATGACCGTAATATGTATGTCTTCAATTTATGCTTTGTGTGCGACAGTTGGTCTAAAACAGTCCAATATGAACCTGTTGTTAAAAAACTTGGTGAACACCTGGTAAGTTACTGTATCTTTGGTTAATAAATCGTGTTCTAAAGACAATTCAGTTATGGCTATTGAATGCTACTAGTAATGATAGCAATTAAGTAGTTACTTCCTTTAAACTTATTATTTAATATGACCACTGAAGTTTTTGATTTTAAAAATCCAGCTTTATTGTAAACTTGCTGACCCGGCGAACTTTGTTCCGCCTTAATGGCAATAAATAAGCAGACTTTTTTTTTCGAACGGGATAAAAAGTGTCCTATGTCCTTCTCCTGGCTCTAAACTACCTCCCTGACAATTTTCAGAGAATCATGGAAGAAGAGACCAAATTTGTATCCAGCGGTTGCAGCAAGCTGCCCACACTCCTGGCACATCTCCTTCACGATTTGAACATGTACAGAAAAGCCACAATTGTTGGTAAGTACATAGTGATTTTATTTTACGCCACATTTATTGATTTATGGTGTCTTTATCTGGCTGCGGTTTCCAGTGCACTTTTAGGGCTATAGGTTTTTACTACTGGCTTAGATTTCAGGAGATGGTATCACACTACACAACATAAGTGTTTGAACGTCACATAGTTTTACCATATTACTGTTTTTTTAACTAATATTTTTTAAAATATTATGTAGAAAGGTGCTGGAAGCAAGCCACTTCTAATTGGTCAGTTTGGAACCTATGGCTTTAAATGATAATGATGTAATGCCCTAACAAATGAGGTAAAAGCTATATTAAGGGTGCGTTGCTGCAGAACTTTTTGAGGCAAAATTCCCTTAACACCTGTAAAATTAAATATATAGTTAACCTGTATAGTTTAAAGAATGAATAAACAAGACGATTTGATTGTAAAGTATATGAGATAGCTGGATGGAGCTAAAAACAGTGCAAGATCTAGTCTCTATTGTGTTGCCTTTTTTTTTTTCAAATATTTACAAGACGGGTGACGTGTACTGGTGTGAGAAGGACATTTTTTCTTTCAGGATCATCTGTAGTATGTTTAATTTATATATTTTAGCAATTTCGGTTGTCAATACTCTATACTATTATTTTTATCTTCAATAATCATAATACTACTATATTTTAATCTAGTTTTTGTGCTTTTGTGTGAACATTTTACTTAGGTATTTTTAGTAATTTAACATAGGGGATGTTTTAAACTCTTAAAGCTGTCTTTATATTAATGTTATTTCAAATGCGAATTTTGCAATGCAGTTTATTTTTCTTGAATTGATTGATGTGTCAGTGCTCAAATTGAGCCAATTTGCAAAAGTTGGTGTTCTCAATTGATTTGAACGGAGTCGAATACGGGGCCAATTGCCTTGCCCTGCGTTACTCGATTGTCTCTTTGATTGATTGGAGACAATTTTTTATATGTTAAAAAATATAAAAAATATTGATATTAGAATGCATTCTAATCGGCAAAAAATCTTAATTTTTTTTTATGGTTAGACCTTGAAAAATTTTGAAGGTCATGGCGCGCAAAACAAACAGTACATAAAAGGGGTGCTTTATCGATCCGTCTGGCCGGGCGAGGGGTGTGAGTTGAAAGAAGCCTGTGAAAGAAGCCTGTGCGTGGCGTCAGGTGCGCAGTACGCACCCCACGTCGACTCCCCTGTCCCCTCTGTCTGGACCAGGGGTTCTCAACCAGTGGCCCAAGGACCACCGGGGATCCGCAGGAGTTGATATATGGTTCGCGAACGATTTTAAATTTCGCGAGCAGCATAATCTCCGCGTGTCGTGAGAGGGTTAGAGTAATAAGAAATATTCGTCTTAGGATATTACCTGATACAGAACCAAGCTCAAAAATGACATTGATAAATTATCCATGAGGTATTCGATTTAATTGATTTTTTGGTCCTTGCGAACAAAAAAGAATCAATGTGGTCTCCGGTCCAGAAAAGATTGGGAATCACTGGTCTAGACGGTTCTCGCAACTCGCCATCAATCAATAGAACGATTAGGGCATGCGCGATCCTCTACCCGGCCTGGAGCGGCGTTGACTCGATCCTTTTCTGCGGGAGCCTCCATCGGGTGCGGACGTCGGCGATGAAGAAATAACTCCAAGAAAACTGAACGGGGAGATGACACTGCTCATGGTGGACCCAAGACCAGCCAGTGCCTGACGCTGTAAGTATTACTTTTTTGTTTTTTATTGTGGGACACAGATACACGTGAACATCGTTTTCTTTTGTTTATTTCTTTCATCAAGATTGTTTTTTCGTTCTAAAGTATCGTATGACGTCGTAGTTAACAAAAGATCTTTTTGTAAAAAAAAACGTCGCGTCGTGCTTAAATGACGAGTTTGCTTTGCGAAATTCTAGTTCGTTTTGCTGCGTGATTAACTTTTAGTAATATTAGCCGGTTGTTATAGATCAAATATAATTTTTTTGGTAATAAATGCGCGGTTCTTAGCAAAATTGAGGTGGGTAAGACATCTAAAATTCGTTTTTTATAACGTCGCGGATCTAATATGATAATACTCCGGGGTGTATAAGTTTTGTTTACCCACCTGTTAATTCGCAGACAGAGACAGACATAGCATCTTTGTTTTTGTAATCATGTTGTACTTAAAATCATTGCATTGAAATCATACAAATAGGATCCTTTTCAAAATGGCGGTTGCTCAATTTATCGATTTAGGCCGGGAAGCCGCGGTCTAGATTCTAGAACGCATGCGTACTATCTAGATGTCATCGTGACGTTCCTACAGGTCGAGTTATTTATTCAGACTGATTGACTTTAATATCTGATGGTATTAGTTGTTGATATTATAAGGGTCGTCTTAGATAGATTTAGTTTTGTTCACATTAAATGATATTGCGATATTGAAAGCAGACATAGCGCCATTCAAAATGGCGGCTGTCATCCAGACCATAGTCGCAGTCTAGATTCTAGACGCATGCGTACTACCTAGATGTCAACGTGACGTTTCTACAGGTCGAATTATTTATTGACTTTAATTTGTAATTGTTTAATTTAAAATTCTAATGTTATTTACTATGGGAATCGTCCTAGATAGATTTGTTCTATTCACATTAAATAATATTGTGATGTTGAAAACAGACAGCCCCATCCAAAATGGCGGCTATCATCCAGACCATAGAGTCGTAGTCTAGATTCTAGAACGCATGCGTAATAATTGCGTACTGCCTTAATGTCAGATGTGGCATTCCAAAATTCAGAGGTACCTAACATATGGCACAACTTAGCCTGGACTCTGGTTAACTTTATTAATTACTTATCGTTCATAATAACTGAAGTCGGAGTAAATAGTAATCAAACATGGTATGTGGATGTAAAAACTATCGATCCAGACCATTAGACCATAAAGACTAGCTTGCCAAATGTGACTTAGTGATGTTCCATAGTGTCAGTCAATCAATAGATAACTCTACCCTAAACAATGAACACAGAATAATGGTTTGAATGGATGGAAGTCTTCTTTTGACAGTAAATGTTTAGGCTTTTCATCTAAATGAAACCTAATAAAACTTTCGATAGATTTTTTATAAGAAGTTTTGATTCTGAATTCTGGTATGATTTGATTTGGTAATCGGTTTCCTTTTCATCGTTTATTTTGGGTTGTTTATTACGAATATTATTTGAATCGAGCGCGTACATGATCTTTTTGGGGAATTTGTTTGATGACTACAGGGACTTATTTAAATTGTTTTTAAATTATGTACTGAATTTATTTGATTTTTAATGTTTTGTTTGAAAAGTAATTGGATTACTCTCCTCTTTTGAGAGGTATTCCTCGAGGCGCACCTATTTTGAGGCGCAAAATCAATATAGACCATAAAGCTGCAGTCTAGATTCTAGGACGCCTGCCCCCCTAGACAAAACGCACTTTTTGATCGAATCGAAAATCGAATCCGTCAAAACTCCATACAAAAAAGGGGCTTTTCGACCACTTTTCGACTGGTTTGCTATTATAATTTGCACTTTGTCTAGACCCACTGGATTCAACGCATGCGTATCTACTACCTAAATGTCAGCCGTATTAACTAACTCTCATAGGGCATAGAGGCGCGATCTAGATTGTTTTACGCATGCGCAGTTGCGCACTACCTAAACGTCAGAAGTCAAATAAATGTAACTTGCCTGACAGGCCATGAAATCGCGGTCTATATTTAACGCCTGCGTATTACCTTTAGGTCTGACGTTTATGTCACATATGTATCTGACAGTGACAGACCATAAAGTTGTGATAGTCTAGACAAAGTGCAAATTATAATCGCAAACCAGTCGAAAAGTGGTCGAAAAGCCACTTTTTTGTATGGAGTTTTGNTTCACCCCCCCCCCCCCCCCCCCCCGGGTGGTCTAGATACTGTAACGCATGCGTAGATACTAGCTCTATTTATGACGGTAGTTGTCAGAGATATCGATTCAGACCATAAACAACACTCGGTCTAGAATCTAGATTCTATATAGAACGCATGTGCGGTAAATGTCAAATTTGATATTCCATTTTGTCAACGTCAAATAATTCCATAGACAAACTCTGATCGTTCTTTCATTACTGTAAGCAATTGTTTTTGTCTTTCATTTTAATTTGGAAATTACTCTGGTAATTCTTGGGAGTTAACGAACTCCTCTCCCCTGCCAGGGTTCTGTCATTTACTAGATGCAGCCATATTGCGCATGTGTGACTTTTACATAGCAGCATAGAGTCGGCCATTTTGAAAATGCAGCGCGCGCAATGCAACCGATCGATCCAGGCTAGGGTTTCTAGGCTAGGTCTCAGAGCGCATGACATTCGTACTGCGCCATTGCTAGGTAGTCATCAACACGTATTAAGTCAGTTTACTTGTGTTTTGCCATAAGGTAGGCAAATGTTTTGTGTTAGTGAGTTTATAAAGAAATATATTTTATATGGACTGAAAAATTAGCCTAATAAAAAATTACAAACAAAAATGATAAAATAAAAACAAAGACCTATTAAATATAAAAAAGAAAAATACTATAAGTATAGGTACCAAAAAAGTGTAAAATAAAACTTTATTTGGAATGGTGACTGCTTTAAAATTCAAATAAAATACATTCCTTGTTAAGCATAGATCATAATTAAAAAACAATAGTGAATCGATAGGTACTATATTGAGTTAGGCTATTGATATTTACCAAGTTTTATTCTAATAGAAAATAGAGGTAGTTTCCCTTAGTTTTCACTTTCTAAGATGAAGTAAAATTTTTGACATGGACGCATCATTTTTTACTTTTTTTTTAAGTTCTCGCCAAATAGGCTGATTGGTTCCTATATTAAACGACTTCTATAAGACCCCTTTACAGTTTCATGTGCTTTAAGTTCGCCGACATTATATCCTTCAGTACACATATTATCATGTCTTTACAAGATGGCGGCCATCTCCGCCCCTTTTGACAATTCTGTCATGTCATTGTCAATGCAGTCCGGG